GGTGTTATCTTTAACTTTATCTTTTCATTGTAATTTGTTTGTAACAACTTTGTTTATAGTGACAGCGTTAATCCTCTGTTTGAGTGATTAACAACTGGACGTAGGGTCTTTTGATCCAAACCAGTATAAATTTCCTGTGTAAGACTCTATCTCTTTCTCTATTTACATTTACACAGTTTTTAATCAGTAAAATTTGGGGAAAATTTTGAAAACCTAATTTTTATTAAGAAACCAATTCACCCCCCCTCTTGGTTTTTGTCCGACCACGCGAACATTCCGCTGCGCGATTCTAACATTGTCTTTGAGTGAGCATTTATATGCATGGTGGTTTTTCATGAGAAAGTTCATTGAAAATTAAATTGAAAGAATTGGATGATGGGTTGTGAACCCTTTTTGAACTGTATTGGAAGTTTTCTGCTTGTAACATGTGATTGGAAATTTTTGGGAAGTCCTTATTACAGGGGAAACTCTGTCGAAATTTTTGGAAAAATGTGACTCTCTAAGAAAAACCACTTAAGGACTCATACATTACTCATCTGAAAATGGTGATTTGTGAAATCTGGGGAATCAGATATTATGGACTTTGAGAATACGATAGGGAGGCCCTGATAGAGGACTTGAGGATAGGAAGGGTAGTGGTTGGAGGCCCCAAAAGACCCAGGCTTGCTACCTGTTGTCAGGGGTCCCACTGTACAAACTCTCCTATACCTGACTGTGCTCTTACCGTATATCAATGGTCAGTGAGCTACTGGGTTTATATTTGAGCATGGGTCTCAACAATCCCATGGGTGGATTTTCCATGCCTAGTAGTGTCAACTCCTGACTATCCCAGTACTGATTTGAGAAATGATTCAGGCCCGCATGCATAAACATTTTAGATAATATATTAGAATCATGCATCATTAACATCAATCATTTGGAATTTGATTGACTTGTCAATGTTTATGATGTTTGATTTTAAGATGATGTATGAACTGTTGCTCACCCTCTTGTCTTTCTGTTTTCTTTATTTTTTCTGTACTTGCAGTGCTCGTTGGACCTGATTGGTCATTGTTTAAAGAGAATAGAGATGGCACATATTCCACACCCGATGAATATGACACTTATAATCATTAGTTGAGAGCCACAATGATGGCAACATGTATTAGGATAAACATATCCAAATTTTTTTTAGGCAGTTTTTTTGTAGTACATAGACCTACATGGTACTGGGTAGTAGTCACTCTTTTGTGTAGTTTACTGCTATGTAAGAAGTTATCCCCAATGTTGCCCTTAATATTTTGAAGGACTATACTAGTATTTTATATATATGTAATTATGAATGTTTACTTTTAGTACTTTCTAAAATGATGAAATGCACGAATGAGTTATTGAAAATTTACATGTTAAAGTTTATTTTTACAATTAATGCATTGGTTTAATATATTAATATTATGTATGAGGGAAAGATTATTATTGGTTTTATAAAAAAAATCTCGCAAAAAATTATTAATTCTTCTCATAGAGGATTTATAAGGTAAGGTGTTACATCTATCCATTTGATATATGTTAGTTTTTTTTTGGGCAAGACCTATATGATACACCTTCGATGATTGATTGATAAAATCAGTCCTAATGTCTTCTTTTTGTTGATGGAGAAGGGAATTCCCTTTTGTGGAAGAAGGAAAATTAGTAGGCTCATCGATGTTTGGGATTAAAGGAACATAAGGAGTACCACTTACAGAATAGGGTATAAGTATTTGGGTAGAACATATTTTCTTGGATTCTTCTTCCAAAGCAAGAATTGGAGCAAATATCTTTCCATTGATCTTAACAAAGTTGGAGGAAATCACAGTAAGACTAGATATTTGAGAAAGATTAGATGGAAATGCCATTTTAATACAAATGATAAAGAAAATTGAAGGTTGAAGTTGTCTTTAATCTTCTTTTTAAGAAATCTGTTGAATTTCTTGACCAACAGACCAAGATTTTCACTTTCTTCTTCTTTGTCTTCCACCTTAAGTGTTATGCTCTTTACTTTCTTCTCTGAAACTTCCTACTCATTGAACATTTCTCCTTTGATAAAGAAGAATTAAACATCAAAGTTTTAAAATATCTTGACAGGTCATGATAGATAGATCATTCTAAAATTATTGTAATTTTGGGCTGCCATGACCTATCAAGACATTTTAAAACTTTGATGTTTAATTCTTCTTTATTAAAAGTCTTACCAAGACCCATCAAGTGATTGATGATGTGTTGAAACGTTTTTGGACATCACTTATGTTTTCTCTAAATTGCATCTTGAACAACTCATATTATCTTATGAGAGTGTGCTTTCTGGCTCTATTTACATCAGTTGTGTCATCATGAGTCTCCTCAAGAACTTCCTACATTTCTTTGGCAGATTGACATTGAGATACCCTGCAAAATACATCCATGTTAAGAGTAGATGTAATAATATTCTTTGCAGTCCCTCATAAAAAGGTCATTTATTTTCAGCCATTGCAGAGAAAAAAAAAATTCTACGACCGAAGGACTTGAGTAACTTTCAAGACCCAGCTCTTGATACCAATTGTTAGAATTATAGGTTGAGATCAAGAGGGGGGGTGAATTGATCTTTACAAAACTTTTTCGTAACTTTCAGATACAAATTAAGATTTTCAAAGATTGAGAAATCAGATCAAGTATGGACCCAAGAAAAATCAACTAGAATTAAAGAAAGAGATGAAAGAAGAAGAGAAACACCAAGATTTATACCGGTTCACCCAAACCACTGAGTTACGTCCAGTTCTCAACCAACTTTCAGTTGAGTTCCACTAAATTGAATATGTTTGATTATAGAATCAGATTACAAAATACTCAACCTATACCAAGAACCAAATTGTAGTTCTTCAACCGTAGTCACAATCAAATTCCAGTTGTAGAACCAGTGTCCAATCTTCTAGACACCAAGAGTACACAGTAACGAAAAAGAATTGAAAGAATAAAAGAAACTAGAACAATCAAACCGGTTATGCAGATGCAGAATTCTAACTACATAATGAGTTTCTTCACAAGCAACAACAAAAAAAACCTCAAGAAAGAATTCTGAAAATTTCCACTAAAAAGAGCGCGCTTCTCTCTTGAAAAGATCTTTAAAGATTGCTTGATTGATTTCTAAAAGTTGTACTTTAAAACATTGAAGCAAATCTATTTATATAGAAATTTTTCTAACTGACTGATCTAATTAATCAATTAATTCTCTCTTTAATCGATTAAAATAACTTGAATTTAATGGTTTTAACTGATGAAAATATCATTTAATCGATTAAAATATTTTACAAATTTTTCTCGAGGCATTTTAACTGATAAAAATGTGTTTTAATCGATTAAAATAGTGATACAAAAATTGCTTAAGTGTTTTTAATCGATTAATTCGAAGTTATATCGATTAAAACTTTGACAGTAAGTTTTCTAAAACTTCTCAAGTATTTTTAATCGATTAATTCGAAGATATATTAGTTAAAATACTGATGAGAAAATTTTTCAAAACTTCTTAAGTGATTTTAATCAATTAATTCGAACATATATCGGTTAAAATACTGATAGAAGGTTTTTCAAAACTTCGTAAGTAATTTTAATCAATTAATTCAAAGATATATCAGTTAAAAAATACTAGCAGAAGGTTTTCCAAAACTTCTTAAGTGAAATTAATAGATTAATTTGAAGATGAATCGAGTAAAACTGTGACAAAAAATGTTTTCACTTGGTTTAAGTTGTTTTAATCGATTATTTCAAAAATATATTAGTTAAAAATGCGACGAAGTGTTTTCAAGTTCCTTTAAGTGATTTTAATCGATTAATTCGTAAATATATCAGTTAAATTTGAGACTTAAGATTAAATTAATCGATTAAAAGGATTTTTAACATATTAAAATGATTTGAGACATTTTTATTCTTTTCAAATGATAAAGGCTCATGTTGTAAGACTGGATAAATGATTATACTTTGCTGAAGAGAAGATCGCCTTTAACCGACCTTAGTCCTTTGACTTAGATCAGTCAGGAGAAAAGAGATGAAGAGTTGTTAGGCAAGGAGAAACAACTTGGTGCAACGGTGATCCGAGTTGATAAAAAATCGATCATTGCACAGAAGAAGAATCGATCAATTATGAGAGAAGCAAATACATCATGTGCATTTTCACTTCATCTGAGAACATGTGAAGGAAGGTAATGTGGAACTTGTACATGTGGTAAGCTGAGATCAAGTTTCTAATATTTTCACAAAGTCACTTCAAATTGTGTATTCGAGAACTACAAGAGACTGATCGGGATAAAAGATGGAAGAAACTCATATGCTTAGGAACTCAGATATTTGACAAATTGATAAGTTGACTAAGTTGAAAGCTCAAAAGTTTTTGAAGAAAAGAAAATCAAGTGTCGAAAGATTGGTGAAATCGATCTCAATTTTATTCTAAGAAAAATTTAATTTTACAGAAAAATTTTGTTAGGGGAAATGAAATTAAAAAAATCATTAATTTAAGAATTTATTAAAATAAAATTAAATAAAAAAATAATTAAAAATTTATTGTAACATTTTGATAAATAATATCTTATACTTATTATTTGATATTGAAAATTTTTATTTTTTACTATAATATTAGAGATTTTTTACTTAATATAAAAATACCATTGTATTCTTAATTTTTAATTGAGATAGGAAAAATAATGAGTAAAAGTGAATTTTGTGAAATTCTTTTCAACTCCCCAATATTCTATAAGCATAATGTGCAGTACATTTAAGGATCGATAGATGAATTAAACTATGCATGTGGGTTGTAGGATGTAGTAGCTAGCTGTAATTTATGGACAATGATGAAAACAATAAATGGAGAGTCGACACCTACCTACCCTTCCCACTCGACGCTCAAAACTGTGTCAGCATTCATTAGAGACAAAGACGCATAAGTTGCTACTCTTTAATTGCTTCTGCTACTTCAGATCGATCAACTCATCAAACCCTAAGAAAGAAGAAGAGCCATGAATGGTGGGCAGCAGAAAATGAGAGCAATGGTGGCAGGGTCCGTGTGGTTGTGGTTGTTGGTCTTTGTATTGGGTGTGGGGGTGTCGGAGGGAGGAGATTTGGCGGCGAAGTGCAACCTGCTGGTGCAGAAAGTGCTTCCGTGCCTGAACTTCGCGACGGGGCAGGCGGCGGTTCCGACGAAGGAGTGCTGCGAGGCGACGCTGGAGATAAAGAAGAGCGATCCGGAGTGCCTGTGCTTCGCGATCCAGCAGACGCATAAAGGGAGCCCTGAGGTGAAGAGCATGGGCATTCAAGAGGGGAGGCTCCTTCAGCTCCCTTCTGCTTGTAACTTGAAGAATGCCAGCACCTCCAATTGTCCTAGTAAGTCCCTCCATTTCCATTTCCATTTTCTTTTTTTTTTCAATATTTTTTTAATCTTTAAAATAATTTCTTATAAAAGTTAAAATCAATTTCTCTATATGTTAATATTTATAAACTCTCACCTCTACTTTTTTAATTAATACAAGCTAATTTTAATTTATATAACTCAAAGAAACTTGTTTAAATATGTCCACACATATTTTAAAAAGCTCCTCTATAAAATTTTAAAAAATAAAATACAAGAAAGAAATATGAAATATTTTTTTAATATAAGTTAAGATTAACGTGTATCTAGTTTAAACATAAAGTAAATAAAAATTTCGGTAATTATAAGATAGAATATTTACAACTTAATTATATATCAACTAATTTAAAATTATAAAAATAATTATAAGATAAAGCTTCTGTAAATTAGAATATATGTCTATTTAATTTTAATTTATAAGAAAATGTACATAATTTTTGTTATTATTTTTTATAGAAATATTTATAAGAGTTTATTGAATAAAAATACCGATAAAAATAACCGAGTGTAACATGATTAGCAATGCTCTAACTTTATAAGAGAAATTAATTCAGAGTTGAACTAGTTTCACTTGACACCTATATTTGAACTTTTTATTGTTAATAGAAAAATTTAATATTTCTAAGTCGAAATAAACGATAGAATCATGGACACAAATACTCTTATTTTAGGAATGGTACGGTGGAAATTGCTTGCGATAGTTATTAAAAATAAAAAAATATTATCTTAATTAAATTTGACGGTAAAATGTTTTGAAATAGTAGAAATTATTTATATAAATAATTCTTCCTTAATACATGGAATATGTATTAAAATAATAATTTTATTTTTAAGACTCTTAATATAATTTTATAATAGAATTATACTAAAACTAAATTTTATAAAAGAAATTATACTACCAGTACATGCTTATTACATTCATTAGTTTATAATTTTGCATTGAAATAAAATTCATAGAATTTTTAAAGTAAATGATGGTGTACGAACAAAGAATGACTTTTGATTTGATTTGATTTGAGTATGGCAGAGCTGCTGGGTCTATCTCCAAACTCCCCTGACGCTGCCATCTTCAGGAATGGTTCGTTGGGAACGAACTCCACTTCAACGTTGGGAACTGCAACACCCCTCTCAGACACCCACAAGCCTTCGTTTGGAACCATGCTTCCATCTCCTCTCACGCTACTCCTAGCTGCGGTGGTTTCCGCCGTTCTCCTCCTCATTCCAATTTCTTCTGTCAACATTAGTTATTGGTGATGGGTGCGTTTCATTAATGCCTCACGTAACTCCACACCAGCCCTTTCAATGAAAGTAGAGGTGGTAGCTCTTTTGCTATTACTCACAGTTGCTGCCAGCGATGGATGAGTTTAATTCATTTGCAGGTCGCACCATACCCTTCACAATTCATTTATTTGCATCTGCATCTGCATCTGCATCATCATCATCTTAGGTTTGTTGTCTTTGACGAAGCAGTGCCATCAAAGACTATGTATGTAACACTTTGGCGAAAGGGAATTTCATTCTCAATCTAACTCTTTCCTTATTTTCACTTATATAGAGCCTGTTTGATTTTGCTAAAAATTATGATACCATTGTTGTGTGTTTGTTTCCTTAAAATATAATAATGTAAAACATGTTTACATAACCTAAACAAAAATGAACACAAATAAAACTTGAAATTTCGCTACCTTGTTACTCATACAAAAACACTTTTTTGTTTTAAGGATTAAATTTAATATGACAATTTTTTTTGTTTCCTTTTTAGTGATGATATATGTACCATTGCGTTTTTTCAAATACCAAAAAAAAACACCCCACGTGTATATATATATATATATATATATATATATATATATATATATATATATATATATATATAGATAGATAGATAGATAGATAGATAGATAGATAGATAGATAGATAGATAGATAGATAGATAGATAGATAGAGGTTATTATTATTATTATTATTTTCTTATAATAAAAGTATTAAATGGGTGTTAAAATTTGGTCGAGAATCTCTTTATCATTTAGGTAAAAATAATGAATTTTAAAGAAACTTTTACATGTGTATAATAAGTTATAATACTATAAATGGTCTATTATAAATATTTTTAATATATATAAATATATTAGTGTATAATAATAATAATAATAATAATAATAATAATAATAATAAATATTTTTTCAAACAAAATAAAAATGTTAGTTCTACCAAACAACATTCTTCCTCTTGTATTTTGATTGTTATTCGTGCATTGGTTGTTACTAAATTGAATAAGTATCTTCTATAATATATATCTATATATTCGTAATAGGTATACTAAGATATAAACATAAAATATAGAAATTGTGGTTGAAATCTTTATTAAACAAAATATCATGGTTCCAATATAAAATTAATTGGTTTTATGTTATAACTTTAACATGCTATCAGAGTTAAAGTCTAACATCTTTTCGATTATTGTCTTGGGTTAAGAGTTGTCTTTTTGTTGTGGGTCAAGAGTACTCTTTGTTTGGTCTGGCAGGCTTTGCTGGAAGGGGCATGTTGAAAGTCTCACATCGCTTGTCTTATATTATTTGATATGGTTTTAATACATGTTAGGCTATTTTACATATTGCCAATTAATTTTATATTAGAACCTTAACACAAAATATGTGAATTTAATGATGAAATTCTTCATTTCAAACATAATATTATAATATAATTAGTGATGATTTGTTTGGCTGTTAACTTATTATAAATATTCTCTTAAATGACAAATAGTTCGCTATAAGTGAAGAGTAAACAATAGTTGTTTAAGCGAGTTTTTACAATGTTTATGTAAGACAAAAACGTGTGTCTTAATGCTTAAAACGGAACATATGATATGCCTAAAATACAACGTAAACTTGAGAATTGAATGTTTGTTTCAGTTGTTTAAGTGTGACAATACGGTGTAATAATTCACGATTAAGCAATCAAAGTAGAAGATGGATAACTTTTTGCAGTTGCTTAAGCATTTAAACATTCACACTTAAAGTGCGTATAGTTCGAAGTAAACCCATATTGCAGTCAGCGTATGTTGCTTTAAGCTTTGTTTTCTATGCTTAAGTTGGTGTTGCTTTAAAATGTTTTTTTTTTAATATTTTAATAGGTTTTATTTTTATAAAATAGTAAGATTTATAAATATTTTATTTTTATTTTAAAAATAGTTTTATTTACTTTTTTCAATGTTATAGACTATAATTATAATGTGATAGAAAATTAAAATATTTATTGTACATGTAACAAAAACATAATATGATTATATTAAAGAGGGAAATGTATATTATTTTGTATAATTTTTTTTTTTCAAAATGCAACAAAGCATTAGATTACATAATTTCCTAATCCTAATTCTCATCCTCACCCTCATCGTGTAAAAAATGATATCATCTTCAATTTCTTTGTCACTACTATTAGAAGTAGAGACACATAATCATCAACACATTATTTTGGCTTCTTTTGTGATGGTGATTAAAATCCCAATTATATTGGGATGGCCATGCAACATGAGTTACATATTGCATAGGTGAAGGACATTGATAAAACATTTCATAATGGATAATATTTCGTCATAGAAACATATCTGGCAAACTATCTACCACCATGTTGATGGCTCTCTAATTTGCTGCAATGTCATCTGCAAATTATTCTTCCATGTTGTGATATTGTTGATGAGGATATTATAGAGGATGTCCTGATTATTGTGGTGCAGCTTTGTGTATGGGAATTGCATATATACAATAACAATTTATAAATCTACACATAATGGGTTGTCAAATATTCCATGAGATGATCAACCAAAAAACCTTGAGATTTATACAAGTCATGGATGAGGCCTAGAAATCCAAACAACCAAAAGATGTCAAGTCAAACCCTCTCTACATTATGCAATAAGGGGTATTTGACGCTTGAGTCAATTCTCTAAATATATGTGAGAACGACATTCAACTCTTTGAAGATATATATTAATAGTTAATGCATTATAATCTATGTGATACCCCAGACAAATGATGTTTGTATGAGTAACTCATACTTTCCATCCTCCCTAATTTCTTTATGATAATTTCTTTATGATGATACACATTAACATAAAACTCTTAAACTATGTTTTTACTGATTTTTTTTTTTTTTCTTCCGATCGAGCCAGTTTCCACAATCTCGTGCATCAACAATATCATAAAGATAAATATATACTTTCAAATATAACTTTCTTTTTAAAATTTCATATCAAGGTGTGTTTTATGATATGCATTTATTTTGTTTTGAATGGTTATACTTGAATGTTAATTTCTATTAATTAGCAAATGTTCATTAAAAAAATTCTTTAAAGTAACTTTTATATTTTACTGTTTGTTTTCTATTTTAAATAATTTTTGTATTATTATTAAAATATAATATAGTCTTTATATAGGGTTTAAATTCTATTTTAATGATAAAGACTTAGTTGACGCAAAAAAAAATATCTTGAGAAATTGAAGCTACAATTAAGGATTTTAAATTAATTTATTTAAAATTTAGAATTTAATTTAATTTTTATATACTTTAAAAGACCAAATTGACAATGTTACAAATTATTATATGAATCTTGTGTAAAAGCACATTAAACTTTACTTTTTGAAAATATTATATTGATATTGTTCCTGTAAACATGGCTTCATAAAAAAATTTAAAATATGTCATATACCATAACTTATTAACAAATTTAAAATAAATTATATATATGGAGATATAATCTTTTTCTTGATGATTGATTTTTACCGTTGTTTATCAAATTAAAGCTATTAAGTTTATTCTAAAGATTTTGCAATATAGAGTACAAATTTAAGTCATTCTTCTTAAAGACACATATTGAAATGTATTTAATTTTAATATTCTTTTTGTAAAAGTTAAATTTGGGGGTTTGAAAATGTAAAATAAGAATTGTAAAGCAAAATAGAAACCGATATCAAAATAAAAACTTAGATCAATTCACAAATTCTCAAGCAAACAATCTTCTTATCATAGTTTTCTAAAGGTTTTAATACAAGTTTGAACAATTAACTGATTCAACCAATCAACTAAACCGATTATACAAATTAAATCTCAATATCATTAAATCTAATTTGTATCCAATTATCAAGATTCAATCAATTCCTAATTTGATTTCTAAACATAACATTACAAATTGATATCTCAATAAGCAAAACAAAGATTAGAGAAGAGAAGAACAATCTCGGAGCAAAAAAAATCAGTGCAACACTCAATTTGGCTTGTTTGATCTTGATTCTATAAATTAATCCTCAAAATTTAGTTTTCCACGGATGAAGACCTATAAAACAATTCAAAACAAAAAAAGAGAAGAATAGGAAGATTAAAAAACGAAAATAAAGAAGAAGAGAGAAAAAAGAAAATATAAAGACACTTCCTAAACTGAAAAACTAAACAAAAAAATTCTGCATATAAATTTAGAGCACCTTTAATCTATATAAAGGCTCTTAAATCTAAAGTAAATGTGGACCTAAATATGAACTCTAATTAGATCTATAGACCCATTTACAAAAGATAAGCTAACATAAATGAAAATCTACATAAGTTCTTTACAAAATTTTAACAAATATACTTCAAGTTCTAAAAATTGCATCGCAGTAAATAGTACATAACTCCAAATCCAGAAAATCATATATCCATTTGATAGCCCTAGAAATATAGAATTCAATGCAAATTAAATTAGTAAAAAAATAATTTAAGTAGAAAATGTTATGGCAAAAACAATGAGCAAATGTCATATTAGCTAAAAATACAAAATTAAAATAAATATGTACATTTAACCTAATTTATTACTACTAACTAGAAATGTTTAAAAGTGAAAATAAATCATATGAAAAGTGGATTTAGTATACAATAAAATTATAAATGTGTGTATAAAATATGTGTTATCAATGATGTTGTACTTTCAATATAACTTATTGTCGCAACCAAAGTTGCGGAATAATAAACCAAAATTTTTAAGATTCAAAAAAATCAGATTTTTGGAGTTGTCACTGTAGTTTATTTTGGAAAACTAAGGAAAACCATAAAGATAAGACAGTGCTTACGAAGACACATGATGATGTGCGGTCATACTTGTATTTCAAAGGTTTATTTAAAATAGAGGACATGACGACGCGAGTGGTCGTACTTGTATCTCAAAATATTTTTAAAGGAGAGGACATGACGACGTAATGACCATACCCGTACCTCAACATTTATTT